ACCCCCTCCCCCTCGTCACTGTCCCGCCCCCGGCGCCGTCATCTCCTGCTGACCCTGCCCCCTCCCTGCCCTCTTCGCTGCCCCCTCCCTGCCGCTTCGCTGCCCTCTCTCCCTCCCTGCTCCCTGCTCCCTCGCCCTCTGTTTCCTCCCTGCCCTCTCTCCCTGGCCCCCTCCCTGCCCCCCCCCCCCCTGCCCCCTATCCCTGCCGTCTTCCCTCCGCCTCGTGCCCGGCCCTTCGCCGCGCCCTGTGCCTCTGCCGGGGGATCCCCAGTGATCCGCGCGCAGCCCCTGCCCCCCCCCCGGGGGTTCTTCTTGCAAGGTCTCCCGGTGAGGCTGGAGGCCCTGTGCGTCAGGGTCGCCGAGCGGCACCCACTTTTCTCTCTCCCTCCACGCTGCGCGTCGCCATGGGCAAGGGCCCGCGCAGCCGTGCTGCCTCTTCGGCAAGGGGCCCAGTCGCTGCCGAGCAAGCGCTCCAGTTTGCACGGGAGGACGCTTGCACTGCTGCCCTCCGCGCAGGCGGCGCCGACCGCGCCCCTCGCGCCTACGACGAGCTCATCACCAAGGCCACCGACGAGCTCGCGGCGGTCTTTCGGACCAGAAGCCAGGACATCAACCAGCTGACGACCAGCCTCCAACGCTTGACTGGCAACACGCAAGATCAGCTGGACCCAGGACCAGACCCAGGACCACCACCAGCGCACCGAAGGCCCCCGCACGGGTGGGGCACCGACCCCAGCCTGGAGGCAGCGGACTCTGCGCTCTTCAGTCTCGACGCAGGCAACTGGATTGCCCCCGTCGTCGCGCATTCCGTGCGCAATGCAGCGGGCGACGTCTTCATAACCAGTATCGCGTTAGCTTTTCGGGTCCCTCCGTGCTCACAACCTTGGGATTATGCAGCTCGCGTGGCTTAGATATTTTACCGTCCATGGGTTCTGGGCGCTGTAGCATTGCACACCGATTGGCTTAGGGGTTTGATCCGGCGTAGTTTGTTGTTGTCTCGTTGTTGGCTCCTGCAGTACTTCTGCTGGTCCCGCAACCGCAGCGGCTCCTGCCAGCCTCGCCGTTGTCCGCAGCCAAGCAGCTACAAGCCTGATGGTAGCACACATTGGCAGGGACCTCTCAAGCTTTCGTCAGGCGTTCTGCGTTCTTGCTCTTGTGGACATTGCGCAATGTCCACAAGAGCAAGAACGCAGAACGCCTGACGAAAGCTTGGGAGGTCCCTGCCAATCTGCGCTCTCCGAGGCGCCACGACTTGGCTGGCCCGCGCCAAGGGCAAGGCCGGCTGCGCCCCGTGGCAGCGAGGCCTCCTCTTCAACTACATGTGCGGAGGCGACCACGCGCAGCATCGCGCCGCCTGGGCCAACGTCTCGGCCGACGAGTCACCCCTTCGTTGTTATTGTGACGAGGATGGCCGATTCGCTACAACGGTGCCCCGTTTAGTGAGCTTCTGCCTAGCGCAGACGACCCCTGCCTAGCCGCCGACGCAACGAATTATTGTGACGAGGAAAGAGAGACGCAAGAGCATACTGTCCGGCGCTGCCGCTGTTAGGCCCACCAACGCCGCCCCCCTTGCATTTATCTTTCGCCGGGGACCTGTGGTGCACGCCGCCCTCGCACACGCGGCGCTGCGGCGTCTTCGAAGAAGACCCGCGCCTCCTAGACCTCCAAGCCGAATCATCCAGAGATCCCCACGCGCAGCACATCCCCAGGCCGGCCCGGCCGCCGCGGCCAGTGGCAGTGGCGGCGGCAGCGGCAGCGGCGCTCCCGCCCCCCCAGGCGGCCGGGGACGCGGTCGCGGGCGCGGCCACGCCGGGGGTGGCCCCGCTGGCAGCCGTGGCTCAGCAGCCGCCGCAGGCGGCCAAAGCGAGGGCAGCGGGCGGGGGCGGCTGGGCGCTGTTGCGCGTGGACGTGGCCGCGGTCCGCTGGGGCTGGAGGGCTCCCGGCCGCGGAGTGACGGGGGCGGCCGTCGCCGCCGTGTTCCTCGCCTGGCTCTACTTGGCGACGCCGCTTGGACACCCTGGCACCATCCTGGGAGTTGCGGCGCATATGTCGGTCTCAGCGGGCCACGTGGATGGAGGGCTGGCGGCGGTGGTGACCGCGGCCCAAGGCGTCTCGGACATTGCTCTGCAGTCCGAAGAAGTCCGTGAGCCTGCTCGACGAGGCTTGGCGTGGAGTCGACCTGGTCAACCTCGCAGTGCATCAGCACCATGCGGGGCGCATAGCTGGCGATCCCGAGGTGTCGCTCAGGTGGGTCCGGACGGACTTCCTCGACGTCGCTGCGCCGCCTCCTTGGGCGGACGCAGCCAGCCGCGCCCTGGAGGGCGCGTCAGTCTCGATCCCGCGCGCGTAGGAGTCCTGGCAGGAGTTGCGCTGGCCAGGCCAGTGCCGAGAGCTCCATCTGACGTACGACCTGCTCGCATCGGGTTTCTTCGGCCTCCGCGTGGTTGACCTTCAGGTGGCTTTCGAGGCCAGGTAGGCCAATCCCGGGCGGGGCGGCCTCGACCTCGACGCCCGAGCGGAGAGAGAGACCGTCCTGTGGCAGCTGAAGGGCACGCTGAGCTGGCTGCCCCTGCCAGCGATCAAATACGTATCCATGTCGGACAAGGAACTGGCGGCCGCAAGGCTCCCGGGCGCCTGGGTTAACATCGGCCGCCAGTGTGCGCGCGTGCTGTATCTCGCAGCCAAGAGCATTCTGCAGGTAACCGTGTTTGGCCAGTGACAAGCCACTGGATTGAGGGCGCGCAGCGGGGGTGGGCTTGGGAGCCTGCTCTGGCTGTCCGTGAAGTCCCAGAACTCTTCTCTCTGGGGTTCTGCGCGGCTTTCAACTTTTAAGGGCAGGGTGCAGAGTCACCCTGCATTTTCTGGAAGGCTCGCGAGCGGGGGCGGGAAGAGCCTCGGCGGCTGCAAGCCGAGAGCATGCGCGTAATAAGCTGAGACAGCCAGCCATATATATATTGTAGCAGTTCTCGCCTCCTGATCTGTGAAATGCTGGGTGGGCTTCAACATGTGGGCTCTGTTGCCTGGTTTTCGGAGCCCCCGAAGGCCTGGTCTGGGGCTCGTGCGCGTGGGCGCGTGCCTTGTGCGTGCCTCGCGTTCGCTCCGCAACCGCTTGTGCTCCGAAACATTTTCAAGTTTCTCGTGACCCCTCACCGTCCCCCGCAAAGGCCGAGAGCTTCGGCGGCTGCAAGCCGAGAACATGCACATAATAAGCTGAGACAGCCAGCTATATATATATATATATATATTGTTGATGCTAATGTTGATGACGATTTTGATGGTGATGATGCTGATGCTGATGCTGATGATGATGCTTGTGATGACGATACTGATGGCGATGCTGATGATCATGATGGTGCTGGCGATGCTATTGGCGATGCTGATGCTGATCTGCTAATAAGGATGCTAAGGATGACGTATATGAGGGAGTTTATACGGATGGCGTCTGTGATGTTGATCATGAACATGGTGACGACGATGGTGATGCGGATGATGATGTTGATGATGGCGACGACGACGACAATCATGTTGATGGTAATGATGGTTTCGACAATGATGATAATTCGGGTGATGATGCTGCTGATGATGACGATGCTGATGATGATGCTGATGATGATGATGATGATGATGATGATGATGATAATCATGATGATGATGGGGATGATGATGACGGTGATGATGACGTTGATGCTGATGATCTTTACGATGACGGTGACAATGCAATTAATGATGACGATTATGTTGCTGCTGCTGGTGATGATGATGGTGGTGGTGGTGGTGATGATGGTGGTAGTTGTGGTGGTGGTGGTGATGATGAGGGGGTGGAGGCGGACGAGGAGGAGGAGGAGGAGGAGGAGGACGAGGAGGAGGAGGATTTCAGGAGGAGGAGGAGAAGGAGGAGGAGGAGGAGGAGTTGCAGGAGGAGGAGGAGGAGGAGGAGGAGGAGGAGGAGGAGGAGGAAGAGGAGGAGGAGGAAGATGAGGATTCATGTCTGACCCCCTCCCCCCCTACACATCGGCCACCGTGCACAAGCACGCACGCATGCTCCCGTGCTCGCTCTCCCGCGCGTTCGCGCACGCGCGTCCCTCAGGCATCCACTCTCTGCGTGGAGTTGTGTCGTGGTCGCTCTCCTGAGTTTGAAATTCTCCTGTCGAAGGCGGCACAAGGTTCTTTTCAGCGGCTGCTCCTGGAACGTGTATCATCGTCACCCCTTCGAAGGGGAAGCCAGGAGAAGGGGCGGGGGCAAGGGGTTCCCAGGGGTAGACATTTGAGGGGGATGGGGCAGGGGTTTGGAGTGAGGAACTCGCTACACCGGCTACGCCCGAAACTCCTTCACGGCCATCACGGCAGATACCCGCAAATCCCAGTTCCGAGTTCGCCATCAGGGGGTCCGTGTTCGGCCGTTCAAAGAGAAGTTTATCCCATCCAATTCCGATCTTCTGTGATACGGCTTCGTGGCGCTGAGGACTGACGTGTCCTGCTGACTTGAGCCACCTTGCCAAAAACAAATCAGATCCGAACTTTTCTGTGTGTCCACGTATCATCGCCCGGGCCTGAAATCATTCATCAACATGTGCACGATTCATTGCAGCAGCGATGCATCGTGCTCTCACGCCCTCGTCTTCCTCGTCCAACTCCTTCGCTACTTTGTCATCCGCTTGCTGCCCAAATTCAACGGGGGAGTACTCTGGCGTAGTCTTGCGAGCAATGCGGGCGAACCCCTCCAGTCAACGCTCAGCGAGGACACTGGCGAGTCCGTCCCTCCAGAGCGGCCCAGGACGCTGACGAGCTAATGCCAGAAGAAACATGACAGTACGAGCCGAGACCAGGCAATACGAAGCCATGCCGGTCGATGCGCGACAATGCAGCTTCCAGGTCGGCCCAGGATGGCCCCCAAGCGCTCAAACCGAACTCCAGTGTGTTCTCTTCTTGGCGCTTTTGCACCAGGAAGGCCCCTGCGGGCTCCAAGCGAGTTGAGCTGCAGGCTCCCGGGCGGCCCGAGA